TTTCAGAAAAGTGCTATTTAGGAGAATGAGAAAAAAATGCATATAAAATTTGAGTCTTAGGGAAAGCAAATTTAAATAGTGCATGAAATGTGATTATTTTCAAATCTTCAAATTCACAATTTCTGAAAGTAAATATAATGATACCTTGAATAGTTTTAAATTTTAAAATTCATTCTATAACCTCTCTCGTTTGTTTGTAAAAACACTTTCTTGGGTTATATATTTGGGAGAAAAAGCCTAATTAGTCCAAAGAAAGGCACATCTTTGAGAATGTATGTATTTATACCCAAACACACAGTAATTATTTTTTATTTTCCTCAAACTAAAATTATAGTCCTCAGAAAAATAGGAACATAAATAGGACTGAGCTTTAATCAAAAGGATTTCTATTATTTATATATATTTAAAGCAAATGTGCATACATACAGACACAGGAGAGAAACTGCAATGTAATCTAAATAAGGAAGGAACTGAAAACACTGGAAAATAATTCAACACAAACTCCAGATTGTTTTACTTTTTCCAGAAAAAGAAGGAAATTGGGGAAAACTTTTACTGAATTAAATTAAAAGAATGGTTGGGTAAATCTCTCAAGTTTTTGAATGAGTACACACATCCTTAATTTTCATGGGTTAATTCCTGCATTCACTAAGCATTTGGTAGGCACTCTTCTGTCACTGAAGATGCTGTAGAGTATGGACAAAGTTCCACAGAGCTTTTATTATGGGACAAAATGACTAAGGAGCACCATTATGGAACAAACAAAGGATCAACAGTAAAGAGTAAAGCACAAAAATTGTCTTGCTGATTAACTGCCAAATTTCCAACACTTCTGTGGGTGGCAGGTTGATTGCCTAGACAGGTATAAATGAAGCATCCTCTCTAGTTCATGCTTCGCTTTTTTATTGATAAAAAGTGCGTGGGGCTACACAAGTTGATACTTGTTGGAACCCCTCAAACACTACCATCTTTTGCTGAAAAGGAAGGGCAGCTTTGAAAACAGAAGCCCACCATTCCTTAATAAGCTTTTTTTTTTTTTTTTTTTAAGATCTCATTCTATATAAAACTCAATTAGACACTAAGGGGAACGTAATAAAAACTCAAGGTAGTGAGTGAGGGACCCTCCCTTGTAATCAAGTGCAATTCAGCAGGAGATGATATAACAATAAGAAATAATAACCAATGTTAGCATTAAGTTTTCTTTAGAGGTCATGACAGGTTTTCACATACATTTTATTCTGAAAGTAACCCTGTGGGGTAGGTAGGACATTAAAATGATATTATGATGCTCAATTTAAGAAACTGAGCTTGGCAAAAATGAATGACGTTTTTCAAAAATCACAGCCCAGGGATGAAACAAGACTTACTTTGTTCTACTTATTATCATTTATGTTTGTAACCACATCCTGCTCTTTCCCATAAGAACGTTAATGATAGACCCTCATTCATTCCTCTGTTCATATATTTATTAAACATCTATTTGGTAGCTACTGTGAAAGTGCTGGGGATGCAAAACTCAGTTATTTTCTGCTCTCAAGGTGTCCACATGTATTCGAGTAATACTTTATCTCTTACAAAACTCTTCTTAGAAGAATGATAAATCATCATTACATCTTATATAATGTATCTAATGAGGAAACAAAAGCTCAAAGGGATCTCTTCACTAACCTAATACCATAAAGATAGTCCGAGTTCAGGATGATTCAGTCATTACTTAAGAGCTAAAATGAGCACAAAACTTTAGGATATTAGCTATAAACTTTGTTGGACATGCATCTCTATTACTGAAAATTTTGACCCTGTACTAGCAGTATATATTTTAAAAAGTTTAAGTAGTGTACATGTGCTACTGTGTGTGCTACATGTATTTAACACTAATGGTAAATACATAACAAAACTCAAAAAATTTAAAAGTTTAAAAGGGATGAAATGCAAAGCACATATAAATAGAAGCTTTACTCCTCACTTCCTGTAGCCTAATGGATTATCTTGCTTATACTTGAAAGCATACATATCTTTCTTCGGAGATCACTGTTATAATAAGCAATAAATTTTAAACAAGTATTTAAAGGAGGACAGTCGATGTGAGTAGGTATACTTGCAATGATTTCTGGGTGTCTGTTAAGCTTTGGGTGGATAATCAGCAATCTAGAAAAATCTGATCTTCAGATTCCAATTATGAATGTCTCTATTAAACACTAGTGAGATGCAAGTTTTCACACTCACTCCTATCAGTCTGTTTCTGGGTTACACTTTTCAGCTTTTTGGACAACCTGACCATCAAAAACCTTTAATGCCAATGATAAAAATGAGAAAATTTTGAATAAATGAATGTCTGCTCCACCAGAAAAGATGAGAAACATTTAGATTTTATTTCATTCATATGACAATCACACAAAACTCAGTTAAAAGGGGTGGGCCTTTATAACTTAGAAACATTTTACTTGAATTCTCTATTAGCTATTAATATAATTTGCACTGTCGCAATAATGGCACCACTCTATAAAAACATTTAATTTCCATTCAGGAAGAAGAGATCACGTTTCCCTCCACAACAAACTCTTTAGTTGAGCACAATTTTAATTACTTATTTGTACTTTGCCCAAACTCCTACTTCACAAGGAAACATTTTGCCTTCAAATGTATGATAATATTGAAATTCAATTTTTTAGCTGTTAGCTCAATGAGTAGTTTTTACCAGAGAGCAAGAACAAATTTTAATCCTTTCTTTGAAGGATCTAAAGCATGGACACCCCCACCTTCAGTCTTCTAAAATTAGTTAACAAGAAGCAACAAAATAATATATCAAAGTTTCCATTTGTACCATTATATGACCCAACTTCTGGAACCATAATTTACAGTATATCTTCTGGACATGGTAACTACCGGAATTTTGCAACACAGGGTCCTTGACCCCCAAGTCTGCCAGGGCAAATTACTAGGGAAATAAAAATTCAGTTTTTGTAAGAGTAACAATGTTTTTGTGCTATACTCGGGCTCTTTGAAAAACTAATTGAACTTTAAGACTTTTAAAAAGTTTTTCCAAAATTCAATAACAAATTTGATTAAAAATTGAGTTACTATGCAATTTTGGGGAATATTTTTACAATGAAGAGAAAACTTGATTTCAATTTATTTATATTACACTTCAACTGAGGAAAAATTGTGGTGGTTTATGTCGGAACATTTTTGAGACAATTTTTGAAATAAACATTTTGTAATAATGGAAAATGTTGAAGTAAGGTAATGAAATGAAGAAACAAGTATTTTCAGAAAAAAAGTATTTTAAACTTTAGGATGATGTAAGAGCCATTATTCAAGATGAGAAGAAATCTTAATTTCTAAGGAATATTATAGTTTTCAATGCCTTCTTCAGTTGCCTCATCTCATTTCATCCAAGAAAATCTGCCCAAGGAGACATTGCTCACTGTTCATTGGAGAAGAGTTTATTGTAATATTTTGCTAAAAGAGGCATTAAGGAGGCTGCATCTCACTATGGAGAGAACAGAAACACTGTCCTATCCTTTGGAGACAAGTATAGGTTAGACAGACCTGGGATCATAGCCATCATTTCCTTTGGCAAATCACTAATTTTAGGTTTCACATCTGTAAAAAAGGAGCAAGAATAATCTTTGTATCACAAAGCATTGCGAACTGAAAGAATTATTGATATACACACATAATACTGTGCCTGACATGTGATACATGTAATAAGCTAAAATTATTCAATAACTCTGTTCACAGAGTAAAATTAGACCTATTCTCTGATTCAGTACTCAGTTCATTATATCACACTCTGTTCACCTTCATCAATTACAAATTGTTAAATCAGACCAGGTTTTCCACCTTTGTAGATAATCTAGTGTGGTGACTATCAATAAAGATCTTCATTGGAATAAGCACTTTCACTTCCCTGTCTTGGATTCTGATTTAGCATCTGTAGCTGTAAAAACCCCACAGATGATTCTCAGCTTAGCTGAGAACTACTAATTTAGTTTATGTGCCAGCCTTTTACTTTCAAAATGTCTAGCTTATCAGTGTAAAACTACTGTTGCCTTAGTTGCTGTTATTACTACATGAGCTTTCTTTGCTTCCATTTCCAGTGGAATCAGAAGCTGGAATATAGCAGGCAATGGCAAAAGTCAAAGTGACACCATGACTCTATCTGATTTCCCCCCATTTGTTGATGGTTTCTTCCATTATTTCTGGCCGGCACATTTACTTATGCTCTTCAGAGGATGTGTAAGTAGGGAGAAGTCTCCTAAAATACAGGACTCTTAATCCAGTTCCAGTCCCAAGATATAAAAAAGCAATTGACAATTCAAATACGGCACCCATGATTTCAAATGAGAGGTTTAACTCAGATAAACAAGTTCGTTGAAGTGGGACCCCATGTCCACATGATAGAACATTAGGCCAAATACATTGTTTTTCTCCTATTGTTACTGCCAGTGGGTTATTTATCAAAAACTGATAAGTAGGTGGCTTCTGTTAAAGAAAGTTTGTACATCTCTAGTAGATATTGAGCTTTTTGGCTCCCTTTCCAACATAGTGTAGTTTTAATGTTCAGAAATTCCTGGTTTTCTGAGTATACAACTGTAGGTAGAGGAAAAAAAGCTCATATCATTTTGTAGACATTTCTCTCTCTTAAAGTAGATGGCCACAAAAAATTATAATACTCAGAGTTGTAACTTTCAGCTTTGAGGTAATAAAAGCCACCTTCTAAATTGTTCACTGGGGCTGGATGCGGTGGCTCACACCTGTAATCCCAGCACTTTGGGAGGCTGAGGTGGGTGGATCATGAGGTCAAGAGATTGAGCCCATCCTGGCTAACACGGTGAAACCCCATCTCTACTAAAAATGCAAAAAATTAGCCAGACATGGTGCTGCGTGCCTGTAGTCCAAGCTACTGGAGAAGCTGAGGCAGGAGAATTGCTTGAACCTGGGAGGTGGAGGTTGCAGTGAGCCGAGATTGCGCCACTGCACTCCAGCCTGGGTAACAGAGTGAGAGTCCATCTCCAAAAAAGAAAAAAAAAATTGTTCATTGACTTTCAAATAAATTAATTGCTTTTAATCTCTGTTATTGCAAATATTCCTTCATATTTGTAGTTTTGTTGACTTGTAAATTAAGATCATCATGTGAAATGGTTTTAACTCTGATTAAAGTTACATTTAATATGCATGGTTGAAATTTTAAAAAATTACAAATATGAAGAAATTCTCACTGCTACCATTTCTCCTTCTAATAATAAAGTGTTAGTCCATACAGTATGGTCCTAAGGAGAGCTTCACTGATAAGTGAGACCTAAATGTTGTCACATCTTGAAAATCAGTTCTTTGTGTATCACTTGGGATATATAACAACAGGGTCATCAGTATCAGAAACAATTTCTTAAACATATACTCTCTTTGCTAATATTTCAACCCTAGTTTGGGATTTTATGATGGCAAAGAAGAGGGATTTTGACAGCTATTGATACCTTAAAAGCAAACAGCCTGTAGAAATAAATGATTCCAAAGATCAGATAGGGCCGTACAGATCACTCTGAATTTCTTTGACACCTCCCTCCTGGGAGGAAGGCCAAAGAATACCTATTGACTCTTCTGCCCTCCTGTGGCCAGAAATCAATGGAGTCTGTATCTCTTGAGTAGATATTGCTGTGATCTGAAGACAAGTGGATTATTAAAATGGGTGTTTGGTGCCTATGCTAGTTAGGGTTCTCTAGAGAAACAGCACCAAGAAGAAGATACATATTTATTATAAAGTATTGGCTCAGGCAATGATGGAGGCTGAAAAGTTCCAGGGTAGGTTGATTGCAAACTGGAGACCCAGGAAAGCTGGTCATGTAGTCTGAAGGTTGGATAGCCCGAGAGCCAATGCTGTAGATTCCAGTCTGTGTCTGAAGGCCTAAGAATCAGGAGGTCCTATGTTAGAAGAAGATTAATGTAAAACTTAAGCTGTCAAACAGAGAGGCAATTCAACCTTCTTCCACTTTTTTGTTCTATCCAGGCCCTCCACACATTAGATGATGCCCACGACATTGGGGAGGAATATCTGCTTTATTCAGCTTATAAATTCAAATGCTAATCTCTTCTGGAAACACCCTCACAGACACACCCAGAAATAATGCTTACCCAGCTATTTGAGCATCCTGTGCTTAGTCAAGTTCACACACAAAATTAACCATCTCAGTGCCCGTCGAAGATTCTCTGCAAAGATGGCCATTAATAATTCCTTCATTTTCCGTAAAAATTCCTTTCATCATGATGTGCAGCTACTTTCTCTCTTCTTGATTTCTGTCTGGGCTTGTGAATTCCTTTGACCAAAAGAATGAGACAGATTTGACACTGTGCTAGTTTGGGGCATGACATTTAAGAGGGGTTGGCAGAATCTGTTTGTTTGTTTTTTAAAGAAATCATTCACTATAAAGAAAATCAGGCTATCCTGCTGGAGAAAAATACCATGTGGAAGAGAACTGAGATGCCCCAGGCAACATCCAACACCAAGGACCCCAACCTATAAAGGAGTCTATCTTGGATCCTCCTTTGCTTCAGTTGAACTACCTTAGCCAACCCCATGTGAAAGAGAGATGAGCTGTTTCCTTTAGTGCTGCTTAAAATCTGGATCCACAAAACTGTGAGCAATGAGATGGTGTTGTTTTAAGCTGCTAAGTTTTGGAATGGTTTTTTATACAGTAATAGACAATTGAAAAAAGTTGTAAACGTTATAGTTTTTATTCTCCACAACTTAATCTGATTTATGAGTTACAGAGCATATTTACCCTTGATCATCCCCTCAAATATAAAGAATGAATCATTTTTAAGGTGAGTCTTTCACTGGCTCATGTGTAAGGTATATTTCTTGACTTCTTGCCATTATTCCCAGGCCTTGGAAATTTCCAGGGTTAGAATATCAAGCCTTTAGATTATTGTCTTAGTGTATTTCTACTGTTAGAATAGAATAGTACAGGCTTGGTAATTTATAAAGAATAGAAGTTTATGTGGCTGACAGTTCTGGAGGCTGGGAAATCCAAGAACATGGTAATAGCATCTGGTTGATTGTTACTGCACAGCAGAAAGGCAAAAGACAGAAGTAAGCATATAAGACAGAAAAGGAATGGGGACCAAATTTCATTATTTTTTCAGGATCCCACTCCCATGATGATGGCATTAATCCATTCATGAGGGCAAAGCCTTCATTACCTAATGAACTTTTAAAGGCCTAACCTCTTAATACTACTGCAATGGCAATTAAGTTTTCAACATATCAACTTTAAGGAACATATTCAAATCATAGTAATTATGGTTCTGATATTTACTAAAGTGGAGATGTCTCAAACAACTATAACTACTTATTCTTGAAGATAAATGAAAAGATTAGATTTTTCTTGAGAGCCAGATTAAGTAGGGACAGGAGGGCCTTAGTGTCACAACATGAGCAATCTCAGATCTTAGCAGCACTGGCTGGTGGGGATGGGAAGTAAGCCAAGGCCAGCCTGTAGAGTATCCCAGGGAGACCTAGGCATCAGAAGTCACAAGAATAACAATTAAAGCCAGTCAAGGGGTGATATCCTGTTTGTATGTGATTAATCCTTCCATAGCAGTTCTTCAGCCAATTAATCAGAAGTCAACCCTCTGATGACTCAAGCCTAGTCAGTCAAACTGGGGTTGTGTCTTACTTCATGCAAGAGAGATGTGAAATTGCAAGAAGGAGCCAGTTATAAGACCTGGGTCAATGAGGTTAAGTTTGGGGAAAAGGTTGCAAGTGGTGGGTACACCCCATGAATAGTAAGACATGTCTCTAGGCAATGAGACAAATGCAAGATTCGCCCTATTCACAAAGTGAAGCTGTCTGTCCTGGTCAGGACTAGCAGGATTAAGTTCATAGATGAAGACACAAGTGAATTCCGGTTCAGCAGAGCTGATAGTGACATACCCAATTCAGGAGGTAGTGAGGAAAAATAAAAAGACTATAGAAAGGCGAGAGGCCAGGAGAACCAAGACAAGCATAATGAAATTTGATAACTTTGCCCCCAAGACCAGTGTTGGTTACTTTCATGTATATTTTTGTTATTGTACTATAGCAGTTAATAATCATATATTTTTATGGAGTTAAGAGAGAATAATTACTAAGGAATATTTGACAAAGGGGGAAGTTTCTGGTTTGCATTTTAATCACTTGTCAAGATCTTGAATTCTTTCAAGGATAAGTGGTAGGAGAGGTGAAAAGACGTAAGAAGTTGGGGTGAGAAGAGTCTGTACAAACTTAAAAACAAAACAAACTTTTTATTTTGTGAATAGTTTCAAGCACTCTAATTTTTCTGAAGAGTACATATAAATTGTTCTTTATTGATTTATGTTTATATTCAATGGTAAGTTTAACATTCTTTCAATTATTCATCTATTCTTTCATTTATGTCTTAAGCCAATTAGGGGTAGCAATGGTCACAAAAGAGAGTACTTAATTTCTATTTAACTTATTTCTATGCACGTACAGTAGAGACAACACAGTGACCTCATTTATTCCTCTTAGCAATCTGCTGCAAGTTACTTCCACATAAAATATTGTCCTTTTGTCACCACTAAGTCTTCATTGTCCAAAACGGTGTAGTTTATTGCTCTCCTAAGTAGATTATACAGCATCTTCCCAGACTCTGTATATTCTTTTTTTCTTCTTCTTTTTCTTGGGGAAGGAGAGAGGGTCTTTCCCAGTGAGTATTCCATGCTAGAGAGCAATGAAACATTCTTTTTTGTAAAAATCAAAACTTGTTTATATCTTTGGGACATCACTGAAGAGACTATATTATTATGTGAAAAGACTGTCGCAGTCTTCTCTCTCTCCCTTCTCCATGTTACCCCTTGTGCTTCTACCCTACCATAGTCCCTTTCAATCTGCTTAAGATAAAGATGTGGTGCCCTCATGGGTAAGGCACTATAAAGCAATGATATCTGAAATTCAGACTCTATTGGACAGCTCACTTCCTGTATTTACTCTGTGCTTGGCAAGGTGATGGGGGCGGTGGCTGTGGTCACAATGCACAACGTCTGCATTCTTTTTTTCTTATCGCTCAGACAAAAGATATGACTTTGAATTCCTTTGGACCATTTGCATCTTAAAGCTTATTTTTTTTCTTCTTTAAATCTTATTTTAGCAATGAGTCAAGGTTAAAATGCATATAAACAGCTGTTGTCAATATACTTCTTGCAGAAATGACAAATCTACCTTTTGTAGCTGTTGCTTTTCTTTAATGATTCCATATGTTCCTCCTTCCACAGATTATTAAGGCTGGCCACCACCATTTCCAGATTAGTGATTTGTTTCCTAAACAAAACTTTCAAAGATATTATCTCTGTCACATTGTCCCTTGTGCAAGGGGTCATTACCCTCTTTCGGTTTCTGGAGTAATGTGGCATCCTCAGTTGAATTGCACGCATTAGTTCTGTGCTCAGAGCAGTTTCAGGCAACAATTTCTATTCTATTTAAGCTGTGGTCAAGGATACTGCCTTTGATGGTTCTCAGAGGATGCTGTGTTTTTAAATGACAGCTTTTACAAGGCAAAATGAATTCTAAGTGCGCGCACACACACACACAAAATGACACGTTTGTAGAAATACCAGGGGATGATCTGGTTTTCTGTTTCTCTTCCATCATTCTTTTCTGGTATTTAAATATTTTTCCCTTGTGTTTCCCTTCTTACAAATTAACAAGGAAATGAAACAGTTTAATGAATTACTTAGACAATTTTAAAATAAATTTCTTACGCATTTTTTATATGGTATTTTAATATATTACATGCATTTTGCTTTGGGTACTGAAATTAAATGTATTGAATATAAAGTGAGTTGGGGTATAATTCTTTTAAATTCACTGTTTATTTCAGTCTGGCTCACAACTACATTGGAATCACCTATGGAGGTGTATCAAAAATCAGATTCCTGGGCCTACTTTGGACGCATTTAATCGAAATTTCTGTCAGTAGATGCCAGGAATATATTTTCTAAGATTATTATATAATACATACTATGTAAATTATAATGTATAAAATACATAAAAATACTACATAGAAACCATTGTTCCAGGTACTTCTTATGAAAAGTTAAACTTTAGTATTATTAATTCAGTCCTAGGGCTAAATATTCACCATTGCTTCCTTTTTAGTTATACAGGAAAAGCACAGTGGATGGTAGAGACAATTGACAATAACTTTGCAAGAAATATTATGAAAATGAAAGGTAATAATGATGTTGTCATGTGGTATTGTTTAGTCTGCATTATCTGCAGAGAGACCTCAATTCTGAGTGTCACCGTTCTTATGCATAAAAATGAGTTAAAGGTCAGAAGTTAATAGACTGTACCATTTACATAAGATACACAATAGCAAATCAGAAATTAGAATTCATAGGCTGCCAGAAATGATGGGGATGCCCCATGGTAGAATGTTAATTTACTTCTTCTTGCTCTGATTTCAATGGAGTTAAAGGATGAACCACTAAGCTGTTCATTAGCACTGATGAGAAACACCCCAACTAATCTCTAGAAAGGGTACTAAAACAATAATGTAGCTGGGGAGGAGGGGTATGACTGGTAGTGCTAATTACATTTGCGTTAATACTAAAAAAAATTTACCCAATGGAAACTAAAATTTTCTAATAAAAGAAATCTCCAAGACAAGTACTCCAGAGAGGTATACTAACATGTAAAGACACACAAACAAAAAAGTAAGTTTTAGGTATTTCAGATATAAAGATGAGAGCCACTTTCATTTAATGTACACTTCTGTGCATATTAAAAAGTAAAGACAATGTCAGGAACTAATAAGGGATTATAGCAGTGCTGTAGGATCCAAGGTTAATACAAAAAAGTCAATCATTTTCTATATACCAGTAATGAACAAGTGGAATTTGAAATTAAAAACACAATATTATTTACATTAACCCCCCAATGAAATCCTTAGGTATAAATTTAAGACAATATGTACAAGATCCATAGAAGAAAAAGTACAAACCTGATGAAAGACATCACAAAAGAACTAAGTAAAGATGTTCCATGTTTGTGAGTAGGAAGACTCAATATTGTCAAGATGTCAGTTCTTCCAAAATTCATCTGTAAATTCAATGCAATCCCAATCAAAATACCAGCAAGTTATTTTGTGGATATTGATAAACTGATTTTAAAGTTTATATGGAGAGGCAAGAGACCCAGAATAGCCAACACGGTACTGAAGAACAAAGTTGGAAGACAGACACTACTGGACCTCAAGACATATAAAAAGCTACAGTAATCAGGACAGTGTGGTATTGACGAAAGGATGTACAAATGAATCAATGGAACATTATAAAGAAACCAGAATTAGACTCAAATAAATATAGTCAACTGATCTTTGACAAAGAAGCAAAGGCAGTAAAATGAAGCAAAGATAGTCTTTTCAACAAATGTTGCTGCAACAACTGCATATCTACGTGGAAAAACAACAAAGAATCTAGACAAACCTTATACCCTTTACAAAATTAACTCAAAACTCACAGACCTAAATGAATCACTGACCTAAAAAAACCACAAAACTATAAAACTCCTAAGAGATAGCATAGGAGAAAATCTAGGTGATGATTTTTTTAAAAGCACCACCAAAGACATGACCCGTGAAAAACAATTGATAAGCTGTACTTCATTATCATTAAACATTTCTGCTCTGCAAAAGACACTGTTGAGAATAAAAAGACAAGCCACAGACTGGGAGAAAATATTTGCCAAAGAAATATGAGAGAAAAAACTGTTCTTCAAAATAAACAAAGAACTCTCAAAACTGGACAATAAAAACACAAATGACCCAACTAAAAAGTGGGCCAAAGACTCTGACACCTCACCAAATACGATACACATGGCAAATACACATATGAACAATGCTCAACATCATATGTCATCAAATAAATAAAAATTAAATCAACACTGAGATACCACTGCACACCTGTTAGAATGGCCAACAGCCAGAACACTGACACACCAAATGCTGGTGAGGATGTGAAGCAACAGAAACTCTGATTCATTGTTGGTGGGAATGCAAAATGGTATAGCTACTTTGCAGGACAGTTTGGCCGTTTCTTACAAAACTAACCATACTTTTGCCCATACAATTCAGCAATATTTCTCCTTGGTATTTATCCAAAGGAATTGAAAATTTTAGTACACATAAAAATCTGCACAGAGGAACAGAAAACCAAACACTGCGTGTTCTTACTTACAAGTGGGAGCTGAATAATGAGAACACAGGAGCGGAACCACACCGGGACCTGTAGAGAGGTGGGGAGTGGGGAGGGAGAGCATTAGGAAAAATAGCTAATGCATGCTGGGTTTAATACCTAGGTGAAAGGTTGATAGGTACAGCAAACCACCATGGCACACGTTTACCTTTGTAACAAACCTGCACATCCTGCACATGTACCCCAGAACTTAAAATAAAATTAAAAAAAACCCTGCACAGAGATGTTTATTACAGCTTAGTTATAATTGCCAAACCTTGGAGCAACCAAGATGTCTTTCAGTAGGTGAATGAATAAATACATCATGGTACATCCAGCAAAAAAATAAAATAAAATAAATCAGTGCTAAAGAGACAGAAGCTGTCAAGCCATGAAAAGATATGGAGGAAAGTTAAATGCATATTACTAAATGAAAGAAGCCAGTCTGAAAAGAATACTGTGTGGTTCCAACTATATGATGTTTTGAGAAAGGCAAAAGCATGGAGGCAGTAAAAAGATAAGTGGATGCCAGGGATTGGGCAGGGATTAGGGGAGAGGAAGGCATGAATAGGCAGAGGATAGATGACTTTAGGGCAGTGAAATCACTCTGCATGATACTATAATGGTGGATACACATCATTGTAAATTTATCAATCCTATAGAATGAATGTACAACACCAAGTGTGAACTCTAATGTAAACTAGGGACTGTGGGTTATAATGATGTGTCACTGTAGGTTCATCAGTTGTAACCAATGTACCACTGTGGTGGGAGATGTTAACAATGTGGGAGGCTATGCATGTGTGGGGCAGGGAGTTACGGGAAATTTTTGTACCTTTCTCTCAATTTTGCTGTGAACCTAAAACTACTCTTAGAAAGAGACTACTTTAAAAAATTAAAGGCATGCCAAAGCCAGCTTATGAAATTGTGGTATACATTTAACAAAGTTATACTTTAAACATTTAGAATACATTTTTAAATTCATAAGACAAAGGATTTATTTTAAAAGTCAATACTGGGGGTCTAGTAATGGGACATAAAGTTGAATGAACAGTGCCTTATTTTTTCAATCATATTACTGCATTTCTAACTACGTATAACTTCATTTGGAGATTATAGTCCAAATGAGAATATTCCTCAGTGTGAAGCCTGTTATTAGTTTCCTCTCGCTGCTATAACAAATTACCAAAGATTCAGCAGCTTAAAACAACTCAAGTATATTATCTTACAGTTCTGGATATCAGAAATCTGAAAATGAGGTGGCAGGGCTATGTTCTTCTACAGGCTCTAAGAGAAAAACCTGTTTCTTTGCCTTTTCCAGCTTCTAGAAGTTGCCTACATTCCCACCCCTGTCTGCACTCTGATAGCTGCTTCCATCTTCATACTTCCTTGTCTAACTCTGACCTCTCTCTTACAAGGATGCCAGAGATTACATAGGGCCCACCTAGATAATCCAGGCTACCCCCCTCCATCTTGAGATCTTTCACTTAATCACATCTGCAATGTCTCTTTAGCAGTGTAAGGTAACTTATTAATATGTTCTGGAGATAAGAACATGGGCATCTTTGGAGAGCCATTATTTTGCCTACCTGGAAGCTCAACACAGAAATGACTTCAAGAACTTCCAACTCTGCATGCTCTGCTTCATGATTCAGTTGGGGTTTATGTTTTCTAAACTCTTCAAGTGATATCTTAGAATGGTTATTACCAATGGATCCCACAGGATTTCACTTTTCAGGATATATACTTTCACATGCCTGATGCAGAGAAGATATTCTCATAATGTGGCTGCTATAACTTGGTATTAAGTAACAACGAAGTTACATCTGTTACCCCAAAGTATGCATAACATGGAACTAATTATTTTATATAAAAAGGACACAGAGAAAAATGTTGCCTCATACTGTATATATGAATGAATACTATAATCTGCCCTTTTTTTCCCTATAAGTTGGTCTGCTAGACATTGTTAATACATAGTATGTAAGATATAAGGATCTAAGGATTCATGGATATATCTGCTCTAAGAACAAAACTAAATACAATTCTAGTTAAAATTTGTCAATGTTTAATTATATAAAATCATTCTATGGCAATGAGTATAACAAGAGCTTTATTACTCTACTTTTCTTTGCTCAAGGTTAAGGAAGAATACCTTTATAACAACTCCACCTTTAGATTAAAAAGGGAGGTTTAAAGATCAATATTAATAGAAATACTAACTTGATTTGCCTTCCTGCTCTCATAGACTCATTCATTCATCCACCCAGTTAGTCAACAAACATTTAAATGCTTGATACAGGTGTGGTAGTGGTGCTACGAAGTCAAGTAATGTGCCAAACTTGTTTCATATAGTTGCTGCCTGGGCATTCATTTTTAGGTCTGATATAAGCTGTTTGAAACCCAGTTGTATCACGTCACCTGTGGCTTACTTAAAACTTCCCCTCCCTGTGATACAGAATACTTGTTCCTCATTCCATGACCAAAAACCTAACACATCCCTCAGCTGCTAACCATTATAAAACCCAATGGTCGACACCAGAGTCAAGTTCTCCCTTTGCTGGTGTTTTCATTAGTCAATCCACAACCCCCTCTGGAAAGCCTAAGGGATAAAGCCTTTTGGACCTTAACATAGCCCCACAGGTCCTCTCTCTTGCTCCCCACCTGCTGGTTGGGTGTCCTGTTATCTCCAGACTTCCCATCAGGCTTATTCTCTGGTGAATCTGTAAGTGATAAAATGCACCTGTTATTTTACATGTTTTGTGTGCTGCCTCCTCTGGCATCTGACCTCCACACCAGAACCTAGCTTTCCTCTCTGGCCCAGAGCTCTCCTGAAGAGTGACTGTTCTGGCTTATGGCCACTCTTAAGAGAGAGACCTCGAGATCAAGTTAGAAAGGAACAGTAGCAATAAAAATTACAAGGAAGTATATTATGGCAACCACTTTTCAGTTAAGAGTTATTAGCCTAACAAACCTCAACTAGCACAGGACCTAAATGCTAATTATAATAAAAGTAACAAAAGTGAAAGAATGGCTTCAATAAGACTAAACAAAAAGCAGAAAACATCATTTTGTATGCTCTCAACTGAGAAAATAGGTAAAAATAAAAATTGTAATAAATACTGTAACTGGATAACATTTCCAGTGTTTAAAAAGATTATTTCTAATGAATCATAAACCACTGGATTAAGACTGAATTACTGATGATTATACACTTTAATGATCATTAATCTATTTAATCAGCAATTCATTCAATAAATATTAAGCTTCTGTTACATTCCAGGAGCTGGGAACACACACACAACCCAAGCCAAAAGAAAAATGTTGCTGCTTTCATGGAATTTACATTCCAGGGACTAATGCAATAGTACTCTCCTCCAAATTCTTCACTATACTTTCATGGTAAACCTCACCAGCAACAAGAGTACTAAATAAGGTAAGATATGCTTTAGGCCTGGAATTCTTCAACTTTGGCCTACTTCTATACGAGGGCCTTAAGGCTGCTCTGCCATTAATTGTGCAATCTTACATAAATTAACCATTTTAACTTCTTTTCCCCTTTGTAAAAAGGGAAATGACAAAAGTTGAGTTCTCCTAGGGACTAAATGACATAAGGTGTATCAATTGTTCAGCAATTAGTATCGCTTTGGCCCTATGGTTCCAAAACGTGCCTGCTCATCAGAATCACCCGAGGATCTTTAAAAACATTCCAAAGCCCGGTCGGTGCACATTAGACCAATTAAATCCCAATCTCTGAGCGTGTCAGGACACGCTCCCCAGGTGGTTCCAACTTGCAGACAAGTTTGAGAGCCACCACAGTTTGAATTATTGATGTGCCACAATAACAGTTGCTAATCCATCTGTCTTTACCCCAGGTGGAACCAGGAAGCCTCCGGAGCTTAATGAAATTCAGATAATCGAGGTGCATACGCACCCTACGTCCCATCCCGTGATTTGAATCTCAATTTCTTCCAACATTTTAAAGCAGGGAGGAATGGGACAGAGGCTTGACCTCTCCTGCATACTCATGGCCCTTAAGTATCTGCGATCTTTAGATATGTAGGGCATGCTGACACTTCCACTTGCGGCGACAGCTGGGCCTGCCCGGGGGAAGAGCAGAGCGGGCAAGTCAGCCCTCCCGGAGGCGCTGGGCCTGGGTGCGGAGGCCGCAGCCGCGCCGCGAGGGCAGATCGGTAGCCTCAGCTGCTGCCGCGGCTGTCGGGATCGTCCCCTGCGGGGCAGCAACAGCGAGGCTCCGGCGGCTCACGGGGGCGCCTTCTGCTTGCGCGCTCCGCGTCCCTCTCCGTGGTCTGCCCTTCACCCCGCGACCCCGGCCGAGGGTGGGAGCAGCGCGGGGTCGCATCGGCCCGGGGCTAGCGTGGTTTGCCGCTCCGCCCGCAGCCATGGAGCCCGGGCCGCCTGGCAGTTCCGGGCCCGCGGAGCCGGGTCCTTGCCTGAGTGGTCAGCGCGGCGCGGACCACGCGGCTTCCGCCTCCCTGCAGAGCGCGGCCCGGACAGAGCCCGGGCGTCACTCGCTCGCCGTGGCAGCCGTGTTGCCTGCCGGGGGGTGCGGGGAGAGGATGGGTGTCCCCACCCCGAAGCAATTCTGCCCCATCCTGGAGAGACCGCTCATCAGCTACACCCTACAGGCCCTGGAAAGGTAATACGTAGCTGGGCTAGCCCCGCGGTTCCTTGGGGCCCGGCCTCCCGCTCGCCGCCCTGCCGCTGCTCTAGCGCTGGCACTTTCACCTCGGGAACTGCCGGGCCGGGCTCAGTTATTCAGGCTAGAGCTCTGTTCCCTCCCGCGTTCCAGAGATGGGAAGCTCTGGAGACAGATGGGCACAAAAGCTGCAGCTGCCCCACAGAACCCTTTACGTTCCCAAGCAGATGAGATGGTGGGGAAGGCCCGGCGTGTGGCGCCGGATTAGAGAGTGCATGGGTTGATACTAGGCAATTTGGAGTTCTGGCTGTGGGGCCTAAAGAGAAGCTGTGCGGATAGTCTCGCGGTCCTGGGGCTCTGCCTCCGCGCATGCGTGGATTGAGTTGTACGTGCACACCTGTTTCCAGGGTGTGTGTTGGGTTTTTTCATTCATTTACCAAGCACCCTCTGTGAGACAGACTGCGCTAATTACTAGGTGCTGCAGGAGGGGAGAGGAGCAGAATTTAATAACCTTTCAATGGTGGAAAGGGCTTTAATCCTGAATCCTAAGATAAAGGTCATACCCCCTTTATCTTAGAAAAGGCACTGAAGTTAACTAGCTGAGGAAATGAAGGAGACAGAGGGAATGGGATAGGGAGGACTAGGGGAACAGTAGTGAGGAGCTGAGGAAGTGAAATGGAGGGGTATGTTATAATATTAACTTACTTTGTTTTTAGCCCTGAGTAATGAGGTGGAGCTTGGAGCGGGGGAGCAGGGGTGGGAAGCAGCGGCATTACAAATATCCACATAGTTCTGAACTTTTCTGAAGCCAGTGGGGAGCTGTGGTAGTTTGTGAAGCCTTGAACTGATGCGAACCGTTTGCATTTCAAGATAGATGTCATCCTTTAGCATACACAGCCTTTGCAGGAGGTTTTGAAAACCGAGCTAGTGAGGTTCTAGTCCAAGGGAAGTGGCACGTTCTCCAGTAAGGAGCCCCACGCAAACCCTCACATATGCTTCAAAAGCCAAAAGGTTCAAGTTGTTTTGTAACCACCCCACGGGTTCGCCTTGCCCCTGCCTAGACAGACCCGATTTATCAAGACAGGGGAATTGCAATGAGAAAGAGTAATTCACGCAGAGTCGGCTGTGCGGGAGGTTGGAGTTTTATTATTACTCAAATCAGTCTCAAATTATTACTCAAAAAATTATTACTCAAAATTATTATCAAATCGAGCATTTCGGGATCGGAGTTTTTAAAGATAATTTGGCGGTTAGAGACTCGGGAAGTGGGGAGTGCTAATTGGTCAGCTTGGAGATGGGGGTCCAAGTGAGGTCTTCTTGGTGTCTTCTCTTCCTGGGTGGGATGGCAGAACTGGTTGAGACACATTACTGGTCTGGGTGGTGTCAGCTGATTCATGGAGAGAGAAGGGTCTGTAAAATATCTCAAGCACTGACCTTAGGTTTTACAATAGTGATGTTATCCCCAGGAGCAATTTGGAGAGGTTCAGACTCTTGCAGCCAGAGGCTGCATGACCCCTAAACTGTAATTTCTAATCTTGTAGCTAATTTGTTAGTCCAATGAAGGCAGACTGGTCCCCAGGCAAGAAGGGGGTCTTTTCGGGAAAGGGCTATTATCAATTTTGTTTGAGTCAAACCATAAACTAAATTCCTTCCCAAGGTTAGTTCGGCCTACGCCAAGGTATGAACAAGGACAGCTTAATGGTTAGAAGCAAGATGGAGTCAGTCAGGACTGATCTTTCACTGTCCTTATTTCCTCAGTTATAATTTTCACAAAGGTGGTTTCAGGTTCTCATATGACTATTTTACTTTTTGAATATTGGAGTTTGAAAAATGGAAGTGTAAAGAGCCATAATCGGCCGGGCGCGGTGGCTCAAGCCTGTAATCCCAGCACTTTGGGAGGCCGAGACGGGCGGATCATGAGGTCAGGAGATCGAGACCGTCCTGGCTAACCCGGTGAAACCCCGTCTCTACTAAAAAATACAAAAAATAGCCGGGCGTGGTGGCGAGCGCCTATAGTCCTCAGCTACTCGGGAGGCTGAGGCAGGAGAATGGCGTAAACCCGGGAGGCGGAGCTTGCAGTGAGCTGAGATCCGGCCACTGCACTCCAGCCTGGGCGACAGAGCGAGACTCCGTCTCAAAAAAAAAAAAAAAAAAAAAAAAAAAAAAAAGTGCCATAATCACCGATTTATGTAATCTTCCCAAAGATTACATCTGAAACTCAAATTTTGAAATGATTCCAGTTGCAATATTCCATTTCTCTGGGTAATGGGGGGAGGGGTCCCTGAAACCATTTCATGAACCACTTACCTATAATATTCCAGTGCCATGAACATCGTGACAACATAGCTCATATATGCAGGCATTTCTATGGGACACAATGGTTCTTGGCAGCAGGATCTTTATCTGCTTGGTAATTAGCTATAGGGGATTATAGTCACTTTTACACTAAACTTTTCTCCCATGGAGAAAACTTTTGCATTAACTTGAATTTTTTGTCATCTTCTGAGGCAACCTAAGATAGGTGGACACTAAAAATCTCACTGATATGGTTTGGCTGTGTCTCCACCCAAAAATCTCATCTTGAATTTTAATCCCCGTAATCCTGCGTGTTAAGGAAGAAATCAGGTGGAGGTAATTGAATCACGGGGCAGAGATCAGGTGGAGGTAATTGAATCATGGGACTGGTTTCCCCCATGCTGATCTCTTGATAGTGAGTTCTCATGAGATCTGGTAGTTTTATAAGTGTTTGGTAGTTCCTCCTGTGTTCATTCTCCTTCCTGCCGCCTTGTGAAGAAGACACCTTCGTTTCCCTTCACCTTCTACCATGCTTGTAAGTTTCCTGAGGCTTCCCCAGCCATGCTGAACTGTGCATCAATTAAACCTCTTTCCTTTATAAATAACTCAATCTTGGGCAGTTCTTTGTAGCAGTGTGAAAACAGACTAATACTCACTTTTAAGGGAAAAGAATGTTTGGAAAGGCCTTGTTTATGGAAAATAAAACGCTTGTCTTCCACTTTTACTTAATTGATAACAGCAGTCACAAAATCCTAATAGCAATAGCAACTCATCAAAATTTTCATTCTGAAATATTCCATGGCTCATTTTTATCACTATTATGTCTGAAGAACTTATAGAACATGATTATATTTTGGGTATATCCTAGGAAGTCCTTGGAAAGGTTGCTTACAGCAGTGTGTGGGTGCTGCTTGGCCGTTTGCCAAGTGAAAGCCCCATCTCCTTCTGTAAAAGATCACCCCTACAGACTGTTGATAGTTTTCTTAGGGTATGGTGCCAAAAGTCTTCAGTCACTTCATTAAAAAAGATAATTTATACAAATTCAAATAAGGAAAAGGACATGGAAGTATAAAATGCCTTATAAGACTACTTTTTTGCTCTGTTGAGAAATTATGCATGCTTTTTACTTATTAAAGGGAAACTACAGTTCTCATTGTCCCAAATAAGAAAAACAATGGGTGTCACCACTGTCAGTCATCTAGGTTATTCTGAGAGAATGTCATTTCTTGTGTTTCAAGAGCTGTATGTGATGCCCCAAATTTGATTTTTTTTATAACTTCTATTTTAGATTCAGAGGGTGTGTGTGTATGTTTATTACCTGGATATATTGTGTGATGCTGAAATTTAGGGTATGGCTGATCCCATCACCCATGTAATGAGTGTAGTACTGAATAGTTTTTCACCTTTGCCCCCTCCCTCCTCCCTCGAATAACCCCCAGTGTCTGTTGTTGACATCTTTTTTTTTTTTTTTCATACTTTAAGTTCTAGGGTACATGTGCCCAACGTGCAGGTTTGTTACATATGTATACATGTGCCATGTTGGTGTGCTGCACCCATCAACTCGTCAGCACCCATCAACTCGTCCTTTACATCAGGTATAACTCCCAATGCCATCCCTCCCCGCTTCCCCCTCCCCACCATAGGCCCTGGTGTGTGATGTTGACATCTTTATGTCCATGAGTACCCATTGTACCCTTGTGAGAACTTGTGGTATTTGGTTTTCTGTTCCTCTGTTAATTTGCTTAGAATAATGACCCCTAGCTGCAATCATGTTGCTGCAAAGAACTTGATTTTGTTCTTTTTATGGCTACATAGTATTCCATAGTGTATACATACCATATTGTCTTTATCCAATCCACCATTGATAGGCACCTAGGTTGATTCCCTGTGTTTGCTATTGTGAATAGCACTGTGATAACCATGGTGCATGCACCTTTTTGGTAGAAGTATTTGTTCTCTTTTGGATATATACCCACTAATGAGATTGCTGGGTTGAATGGTAGTTCTGTTTTCAGTTCTTTGAGAAATCTCCAAACTTCTTTCCACAGTGGCTGAACTAATTGACTTCCCCAGTAACACCGTATACATGTTCCCCTTTTCTCTGCATCCTTGCCAGCATCTGTTTTTTTGACTTTTTCTTAATAGTCATCCTGACTGGTGTGAGATGGTATCTCATTGTGGTTTTGATTTGCATTTCTGACTAGTGATGTGGAACATTTTTTTGTTTGTTGGATACTTGTATGTTGTCTTCTGAGAAGTGTTTGTTCGTGTCATTTGTGCATTTTTAATGTGTGTATTTGTTTTTTGCTGGTTCAATTGTTTAAAGTTCCTTATAGATTCTGGATATTAGTTTTTGCACTCTCAAGCAAAGGCCTGTTGACTCTGATAGTTTCTTTTGCTATGCAGAAGCTCTTTTGTTTTTTTGGAGATAGGGTCTCACTATGCTACCCAGGCTGGAGCGCAGTGGCAGGATTTCAGCTCACTGCAGCCTCAACCTCCTGGGCTCAAGCAGTCCTCCCACTTCAGGCCCTCAAGTAACTGGGACTACAGTCATGTGCCACCATGCCAGATAATTTTTTTTGTATGTTTTGTAGAAATGGGGTTTCGCCATGTTGGCCAGGCTGTTCAGGCTGGTCTTGAGCTCCTGAGCTCAGGTGACCCACCTGCTTCGGCATCACAGAGTGCTGGGATTACAAGTGTGAGTCACCGCACCTGGCTGCTGTGCAGAAGCTGTTTAGTTTAAATTGCTTTCAGTTGTCAATTTTTGTTTTTGTTGCCGTTGCTTTTGAGGACTTAGAAATTCTTTCCCAAGGCTGATCCCCAGAATGGTGTTTCCAAGGTTTTCTTCTAGGATTCTTATAGTTTGAGGTCTTCCATTTAAATCTTTAATCTATCTCAAGTTAATTTTTGTGTATGGTGAGAGGTGTAGGGGTCCAGTTTTATTCCTCTGGATATGGTTAGCCAGCTATCCTACCAACATTTATGGAATAGGGAGGCCTTTTCCCCAAAATTACCTTTTTTTGTCAACTTTATTTCTGAGTTCTCTGTTCTGTTCCATTGGGCTGTGTCTATTGTGAACCAGTACTTGCTGTTTGGGTTACTGTAGCCTTATAGGATAGTTTGAAATTGATGCCCTGAATTTGACTTCAAAATTCTTTTTATTTGCCCCTCATAAGTAAGGATTTTCTTTGCCCAAACTTTTGCTATCTCACTAATAGAGGGTTGAGAAATTGTGAGTACTTTTTAAATATCTCACCTAAGAAATTCAAACTGCCGTCGAAAATAACTTATGGGTTGATTTGTCTTTTGGAATTTTGAACAAAATCTAATTGGGGACTACAAAAGAAAAGGGAGAAACTTCTGAACTTTGGCCCCAAATTCCTAAATTCGGATAGGGAATTGTGAAGAAGCATGACCAGTCTTGCCTCTAGTTAAAGACTGCCACTTACACATACATTTGTTTCCACTACTTCCTTGACCCACCTAAAGGAGCTAAAAATGTATACCTACAGAAGCGAGAAAGAATGAGAGGAAGTGCAGCAGATAAGAAGTACTAATAAACTCAGCACGGTGGTAACCTAATCAGATTTAATGAACCCAGGAAAGCTAAAACATAAGCCTTCAGGTAGAACTTCAGTTCAGGTAGAACTTCTTAGGAAGTAAGATGATTAAAGTTATACGACCTTGAAAAAGTATAGGCATCAGAGGCACAGGGTATCTCTGAAGGTGGAGTAGAACACTGAAAAGGGGACACCTGATTGAATCCTTGAAAAGGAAGAGTAAAACTCCCAGATCTTTAACAGATACTGAGGCTTATTCTCTGGCTGAGAATTAGCACAGCTAATGACGTGAATTAGGTGCTCTATGGCAGTAGGGGAATTAAGAGAGACTACATTTTGATACAATGAGATCCTTAGTGCCTAAGGTAGATGACTCAAGGAAGTTTTCAACATTTCAGACATGCCATATATTAAAGTAGTTATTCTTCTAAAATCAAGGAGTTGGAGGAGTCATTGAAAGAAATCCATTTTGTGAATTGACTGGAACTTCAGATTGCTTGTCCATTTTCCTTTTGACAAAATCAGAAAAGTTCTTTTAGTTTAGTCAAGTTCTACTTTGTGCCGTTGAAACTGCTTAGAAAACTACTTATCAGATTAAATGAGATTAAAAAGTACCTCTGAACCCA